CTCTCATCAACAATAACATTCGGATCGCACAACGAAGGTGATGGGTGAGGTGCAAGCCTTGCCGGGTGTCTGGTGAATGCCGACTTGCCTGGTTCGGTGGTTCCTTGGTCGGCTTGGCCGATGATGAGGCCTCCTGTTGCGGCGGACCCGGGATGCGGGCCCAGCAGTCCTTCGCGTAGTGGCCCCTCCGTCCGCAGCGGAAACAATCGGCGTCATTGCGCCGAAGCGCAGGCCTTGCCTCCCGCCGGCCTCGTACCGGTGGTGCAGCGCGAGAGGCCGGTCCACCGCGGCCTGACCATGGCCCCGAGGCGGCCGTCAGCTCCTGAGGGCCCCCCCCATCCGGCACGTATACCGACTTCGTAGGGTCCCAACCCAGAGCGCCACCCTCTGCGACGGGCCCCCCTGTCCACGCCGCGACTTGTTTCCACCGTCGGAGGTTGAATTGTGCATCCAGACATTTTGCCGCCGCCCGGGAAGTGAGCTTCTCATGCCCGCACACCGGCATGGGAATCCCAAGATCCCGCGACAGCTCGAGCATCTTGCCCAAGATGAGAGGCTCGAGCAGGTCAGGTGTTGTTTCTGGATACGCGGCCATAGCCAAATCAAGCACCGCACCCCTGTATGCCACGGGCGACTCCTCGAGCGCTCGTTGTCGTTGAGCGAATCGCCGATGCGCGTCGTCAGGTGGCTCGTAGGCGTCGGCCATTTCTTGAAAAACTCCGTATAATGTCCTCTTCTTCTCGGCCTTAATGGAACGAAAAAATCGAACAGATTCGTCGTCCAGAAGAGTCGGCAACACTTCTAAGGCCTCAGCATCGGTCCATCTCGCAGAACGGACCGCCGCCAAAAATCTGCAGGCGAAAGCGCTCCAGTCGCCCCCAATGGCGAATTCTTTGACCGTGGTGAGATGGCGACTCCGACTTCGCTTTACTCCGCCCTCCGCCGATGGCTCCTCCGGTGGCAAATTCAAAATGGCGTCGAACCGCGGCGTGGTCAAGATGGCGGTTTCCCGCCGCGGAACGCGCAAGATGGCGGCTTCCTGCCGCGTGGCCGATGGCGCCGGGAGCGAAGATACCGTGGCGGCCTGTGGAGCACTCTCCGCTCTCTCCGTCGCCGTCCTTGGGGTGACGAGATGACACAATTGGCCCAGGACGTCCTTGAGAGTCTCCAGTTGCTCCGCCACCTACAGCCATCGCAGATCAGCGTCTGATGTTGTCGGCGGCCCCGACACTGCGGCTACATCTTCAACCCCAGTCCCCGCACTCGTTTCAGCAGGGCTCTCCTCCACCACCCCGGCAGGATCCATGTTTGGAGGGAAGTCGTCGTCTTCGGACGAAGAAGCCGATGCTGGCGCTGGAACATTTTTCTTTCTCACTTGTTTCGACATGCCGTTGCACTTCCGACACCAATGTAATAAAGGACTCGACCACGAAGTCTGGCTTGGTGTCCTTTATTCGGTTCTTTCTCGTAACCCACACGGCTGTCCTTCTATAAGGCTTTCCGCACTGCACTGATACTGCTGTTAACCCCGTCACGCCAACAGCTCCTCTGTTGGTCTCCCGTTGTTCTCGTAACCTTCCAGCAGCCTCGCCGCTGTCACCCTCACGCAGCCCCCACTGGCTGCACTCGCTGCAGTTTCTCTTCTCGTCGCTCTCGTAGCCTCTCACACACAGCCTCGCCGGCTGTGTTCACCGCAGCTCCTCGACCGCCCTCTCTCCAGCAGCCCCACTGCTGTCTTCTCCCGCAGCTCCACTGGCTGCTCCCTTAGCTGGCCACCGCTGGCCGCCGGTGCCACTCTTCCTGGCTTCGCCCAACGTGGCCTTACTCTTGTCCAGTCTCTCACTCTCTCCCCTCCTCTTCCGGTCTCATCCCTTAAGAACCTTAACCTTGCTCCCACGTCACCTAACTCCACCTCTCCGTGACGTCACATCCGGGAGGTCGCCCGCGCCCGCATTACACATGTAAGTTCTTAATAGACGCGCGTACCAATATGTAATTACATGACACGTAGGCTGTGTGTGGCGGGATATATAAACTTTTAGGTTGAGGTGTAGATTTGTGCAGTAGTTTCAGGCTGCCGCGCCCGCCGCAATAAGTTCTAATGTAACGTTGTAAGCCTCATTTTGGCGCCCCTTTACCTTGGCGCCCGGGGACACATGTACCCCCCTGCCCCCCCCCTAGCTACGCCTCTGTTTCGGAGGCAACACAAGTCTCCGTCATCAGGTGGGACCGTCACAGCTAAATTTACTGTATCAAGTGAGGAAAAATCCAAGAGACAAGCTCTTAAATACAAGTTAAGGGGGGGGGGAGGGGCTTATCTGAATGTGGTAGCCAGGGAATGGAACGGTGGGGGGGGGGCTAAAATAGAACAATGCTGCACATCGACTCGGGGTTGCGGCTGGTGTTGGCTGACAATCCAAATACAAGAAAGCAGTGTTTTAATGAGATAATTATTTTCTCACAGAATCAGAATGTTTATCTATCCTGGAGGAATCCGATTACCTATGTAGAGGAGTAGAGGAGAGTGGTGGCGTCGTGTTCGCTGTCCGGTGCGGTGACATCACGGGACGTGGGGTCGCACGCGCTGGGCAGTGCACAGAATCTATCCTGGAGGAATCCGATTACCTATAAAGTTCTTTTTCACAGGCGGGTCAGAGCGTTACAAGAATAAACGATGCAAACACACGATATAGGAGTGCAAAGTATTATAAAGGTAAACAAACCATATATTCAAATAAAAATAAACATTTTTTTATTTTACCAGGTGAGGCCCACTGAGCTATATCGCTCTTTTTTCAGAAGCGACCTGGACATCACAATTGGTAGCTCAACTGAGTGGCTTGTCCTCACGTGGGAATTTATAGCAGACAAATCACTCTCAACGCGTGATGTTGATTCTAAATGTAAATAGCAATGATCAAAAAAAAATTGAGTCTTCTGCCGTTAACCGATAATTGCTACAACGCTGTGGGCACTCATGATATTGTCTTTTCTGAGACCAAGGTGCTCTGCAAACCTTCTGGCTACCATCAAAGGTTTGTATACGAAGCCATCCAGATATACAAACACAGACATAACTTCAACCGTGATGATGGGTACAAACTGAGTAATCATTGGAAAGATGTTATTAATCATGTAAAAAAGATTTAACTACACATATTTGGACCATCTTATTTGACAGGTACTATTTTTCTTTACCGAGTGTTGACATCCCCAGCGTTTAACAGTACTGCCCTTTTTAAATCCTTTATATTAAGTTCGCTTGCTTGCTTGCGCGCTTACGACCGTGCAAATCTTTAGGTCGTTTTTTAACCCACTTCCCGTGATCCAATCGAGCTGACATTTTCCACACAGACTCGTTGTGCGTGACAATTAATTTTCGTGAAAAAAATGTTGCAAAATTTTACACTTTTTAGGATTTTTTTTTATATTTAATTACCAATTGCTTAATGCTGCCAGGCAATCATCTGACCCATAGGTGGCAGCCATCTCAAGCCAGAGGACGAGAGGACTCTAGCCGCCACGCATATAAAGGATTTATAGTGAAAAATTTTGTTTTTACAGGTTAATTTTTTTGTATTTGGATTGTCAGCCAACACCGGTTACAACCCCAAATGCACCTATTGTTCTCTTTTAGCCCCTCCCACCCCCAACACGTTCCATTCATTGGCTACCACATTCAGATAAGCCCCTCCCCCCCTCTCCCTTAACTTGTATTTAAGAGCTTGTCTCTTGGAATTTTGCCTCACTTGATACAGTAAATTTCGATTCAAAGCTTTCGTGACTGCAGGGATTCATCTTCTTGGTTCTTTCGGTAAAGTCACGTAGAAGGGAAGTAATAAAATAATAAAAATAAAACATAATAAAATAATTCTCACGACGTTTCGCCTACAACGGAAGCAGCCGTCTTCAGGTGAAGAATGAGACACTACCAAGCTATGAGCTTATATATACGCTGGGTTGGAGGTGGAAGAAGAGCGCCTTAACAAAAAGAATGTGCATATGAAGAGGAATTTAGCATATTCATGGGAAATGCGTAGGAGGTGGGTGGGGGGGGGTTTATAGTCATATTATGCCCGTGCATTATGCAGGATCAACAGCACCCCCCCTTGGTGCTGTTGATCCTGCATAATGCATGGGCATAATATGACTATGAAACCCCCCCCACCCACCTCCTTGGTGCTGTTGATCCTGCATAATGCATGGGCATAATATGACTATGAAACCCCCCCCACCCATCTCCTTGGTGCTGTTGATCCTGCATAATGCATGGGCATAATATGACTATGAAACCCCCCCCCCCCCATCTCCTTGGTGCTGTTGATCCTGCATAATGCATGGGCATAATATGACTATGAAACCCCCCCCCCCCACCCATCTCCTACGCATTTCCCATGAATATGCTAAATTCCTCTTGATATGCACATTCTTTTTGTTAAGGCGCTCTTGCACCTCCAACCCAGCGTATATATAAGCTCCTAGCTTGGTAGTGTCTCATTCTTCACCTGAAGACGGCTGCTTGCGTTGTAGCCGAAACGTCGTGAGAATTATTTTATTTTATTATGTTTTATTTTTATTATTTTATTACTTCCCTTCTACGTGACTTTACCGAAAGAACCAAGAAGTTGATACAGTAAATTTAGCTGTGACGGTCCCACCTGATGACGGAGACTTGTGTTGCCCCCGAAACGTCGTGATTTATTATTTTATTTCTATTAAAATATTTATTATTCATTTTTCCCTACGTGACTTTACCGAAAAAACCTAAGAGTATTCTGATTCTGAAAGCTTCAAATCTAGAATTCTGATTCTGGTCAGATTAACAGCAATTGGAGGCGTCTGCGAGTGTGACGTCACGCTTTTGTGACGTACGCCTTTGGCGGCGGCGTCATTTCTTATTTTGACGTCACGGTGTGAGTGGAGGAGGGGGAGGAGGGTGACGTCAATTTACCGCTCAAACCGACTTGGTGGTTGACGTCACCTCGCAGTGTTGACCGCTGGGTGACGTCACGCTCTCCATCCCGCCTACCTCCGCTGCCGCCTCCATCGCCTCCTCGTTCACTTCACTTTGAATTCTCCCCCAACACCGGCGGAGCCATGAGGGACGTGACCGCCTTCCTCAAGCAGCAGCAGTGCAAGAGCGCCCCGGAGCTCGCGGCCGAGTGGCAGAGGCTGGAGGAGCTCTACAACAAGAAGTGAGCGATTGGCGCACGCTCGCTGGGTGCCGCTGAGTCACCTCCGCCGTCCAGGCCTCAGCCTCGGCCTCGCCTGGTTGCCTTGGCCCGGACGCGAGGCGCGCGTCCCGCATGGGAGGCTCAGGCGAGGCCGAGGTCGCATGTCGGGGCCCCGTTGCGTGTTCGAGGCCTTATTGGGTTGAGGTAAAACTCTGCGGGTAGAGACGCAGTGAATGGACGAGGGAGGCTACTCTGGCATTGGCGGTGTTATTCTACAAGCACCGGCACGTCTGTATCGGCCTGCCAAGTCGCGAGTTGGAAACAACAACAACAACAACCAACAACAACAACAACCATGACGCGTCACAATCGAGGCGGCCGCATCTGCTGTGTTACTCTGTACTTGTTCAGCCCGTAGCAACATCCACCAGCAGTCGCGTCTACAACGTCAAACTTGTAACGTTACTGTGTTTATTATATACAGTCGTGTTTACGTTTCGGCATTTTGTGCTGTTGCAGTGGCGCTGTCATTGTGCTGGCGAGTTTGATCGGTTGTATCAAGTTCGTTCGCACCATAATAGAGGGCTTTTGGGGGTTAGATCGCGTAGAAATATAAATGTTGTGTCGTTAAACCCGCCACCACCCGCCACTGCAAATTAGTAAGGTTTGTCCCGTAAACAGAACATGCCAATTCGTTACTAGTACAGCAATACCGGTGTGTTGGAGAGTAAATCCGTAACATTTACAATTTGAGTCCGACGTTTCGCCAGTAATTGCAACTAGTTTAATCGGGTTTAACGACACATTTATATATACGCGATCTAACCCAAAAAAACCTCTTTGGTCGCAAAAAGCTACATGTTAAACTGTTCTTTTGCACCGTACGTAGCCAACCGTGCTAACAGGAGGTGCGGGAGAAAGGACGACAAACTAAACACCAAAAAGCAGTTCTAAAGAAGTGAGTTTTCAATCTGGATGATTAATTAAAAGTGCATAGCTCCATTGGCTTACTAATATCTGAAGAGCGTTCCAGACGGCCCAAGACACTATTCGTGTCGAGGTTTGGTGAGTGAGCCAGTGGAGGGGTTTCAGGGGGTAGCCTAGGGAATATCCGACATCCATAAAGGTTTTTTTGGGTTAGATCGCGTAAATATAAATGTGTCGTTAACCCACCACCACCTGACACAGCCAGTCAATACGATTTTTGCACGTAAACAGGACGTGCCAATTCGTGACTAGTATAGCACACCGGTGTATTGTGGAGAGTAAACCCACGACATTTACAATTCGAGTACGACGTTTCGCCGGTGATTACAACCAGCTTCATCAGGCGATTTGCCGGAATTGTGAAGAAGTCCTATTTTAGTCTTACATTATTTGAAAAAGTGCAGACTGGCAGTTCTGGTGGATCATATTTGCATTGAATGAGAGGCGTCCTACTGTGCCTTTTTGCAATATTGGTGCTGTTGAGTATTAAATGTCCTTTTTTTGTTTCCTGTGTGTATTTAGACTGTGGCATCAACTCACACTGCACATTACCACGTTTGTGCAGCATCCCAGTTTTGCTGAAGGCGATGGCTTACTCAAGGTATGAAAGACATGCCACTCCGGATTTGTCCATGCACCCTTACAAATTCATCAATGCCGCATATGTCCATACCAAGTTAAATATATGTCAGACCCATGCTGATTTAACCATGAGATAGCTCCTTTAAAAGGGTGCTTAATATTGATTTATAAGGTTCACGAAACTTGCAAGGGTCTTCGTTGAGCTATCATTTGTGGCTAGGTCGTTTCTGAAAAAGAAGCTAATAACGCAGTGGGCTTTACCTCGTAAAATAAAAATAGTTATTTTTGGTGATTTGCTTACCTTTCCTATACTTTATACTCCTATTGTATTTTTGTATTGTTTGTTGTAACTTCGTGGCCTGCACGTACTGGACATTTATACAAAGAGCTTGATAGCTCATCGGGTTCCTCCAGTGTAAATAAAGATTCTGGTTCTGACAGCCGCAGTCTCCTATGACCAGTCTAGGTAACTTTGTTCAATTTCGATTTAAAGCTTTCGTGACTGCAGGGATTCATTTTCTTGGTTCTTTCGGTAAAGTCACGTAGAGGGGAAATAATAAAATAAAAATAAAACATAATAAAATACAATTCTCACGACGTTTCGGCCACAACGCAAGCAGCCGTCCTCAGGTGAAGACCAGGTCTGTCGGGGAGACAGCGTCTGAATTAATGCCGAAACGGCATGAGAATTCTTTTATTATGTTTTATTTTAATTATTTTATTATTTCCATTCTACGTGACTTTACCGAAAGAACCAAGAAGATAACTTTGTTCAGTTAAGTCTTTTGTTAAGTTGTTAAGCCTTCTGTACAATTGTGCTTTATGGTACCTTTGTTACAGTATGAACAATCCTTCCATAGTTTGTTGGCAAACCTGGTTGGCTGGGCCCCACTTTTCGTATATACCTTAACAAATGTATGCTGTCTTCTTTTTTTGTTTATACAGATGTATGAAAACTTTCTCTGTGACTTTGAACACAGGTAAGCCTTGTCGTAATGTGCAGAAATAATTGCCAATTAATTTTAAGTCATAATTCGTCTATTAAAATGTGTGCACTCTCATGATGATTTTTTGTGTGTTTTTTTCCTTTGCAAACTTTCTGTGCTGTCTGAAGAGTAAACCCACTGTCCTTGGTGGAGATCATACTGCACATCATCAAGCAGATCACTGGTAAGTCATGGTCACGCACGTGTAGAACCACGTGTTTGCCATACACTGTGCTCTTCTATTTACGCAGAAAACATTAGAAAAGATTCACCGAGTCTGTAGACTTTTTTGAGGAGGTCCTTCATTGTGGTGCTTAGTCAGTGCTACATAAAGTATGACTCGTGCCTCAACACACAAACCACCACCTATGAGGAGTTAATCAAAAAATACCATGTAGCTGAGGCAGCAGCCTTCCTGCTCTTCTCCACAGTGCTGGATTACAAGTGTGCTCCGGGCACTGGTAGGTGGCTATACCACATGGCCTGTAATCCAGCACTGCGGAGACGAGGATTGGTGGATCGCACAAATGTTGTGAGACTCCCTTCCTGTGGGTGTGGAGGTGCCGTACCCAGGCTTGCCGGGAGAAGACCGTGCAGCAAGTGTGTAAAAAAATAATCTCCATCCGTTCCATGTGTATGGGATAGTATTTCACCCTCGCACGTGTGGGGGTTTCTCCAGGTTCTCTGGTTTCTTCCCACATGTCAACACTAAATAATTGGCTGATAACACCTTAGTAAAAGGATGAGTGAGGTTTCAAAAGTGCAATTTAACCCTTTCCCGTTCAGAGACATCTGCAAGTTGCAGGGTGGGGTCCCGTGAATTTTATTTAGAGAGGCGTAGCGCCATTGTTTTTTAAGACATTGGACTCACTGCGGAGAACCGTAGCGACGCGACCGCACTGATAGCTGGAGCCAAACTGTGCCACACGCCCTCCCGCTTAGACTTGTGGGAGCCTCAGTACGTCAAAGACGTACAAGTGAAATTATTTGATTTTAGTTTCTCTGACGATTTACACGTACGTCATCGGAATGGGGAAGGGTTAAACATGAGTAGGGTATCACAGAGGGTATGATATGCGCATTGATAGCAGAGGAAGGAAGGCTCCGTTCATTTTTAGATAAGTTGGACGACACTCTAGGACTGGAAAGGAAGAAGACGAGGTTCTACAAGAACGAAATGCTTAATGTGCGTACATTTTCCTGTGTTCAGATCCAAACGAAGCTCTACAGTTTTTGGAAAAGACAAAGGAAAAGGTGAAATGCACTTATAAAAACGGGTACATTTCCCTAATCAGATGGGAGTTGGGGAACGCCAATGTACGTGCGCGAATCTTCACTTTGCGCTCATTTATACGATGCGTGCGTGGAAAGGTCAACTTCAGTGCTGGAGAGAGAAAATTGTGAATCCCGGCGTTTACAGTTCCAGATTCCCTACATATACAAGTGTTGAGAAGTGACAGTCAGTAGAAATATCTCATGATTGGAGAGACTGATATTCGATTTAGTTATAGAATATATTAGTAGTGATCTTTTTATGTTATTTGCTTCATGTGTGTATTTGTTAAATGCTTTGTTAAGCTGTGCTGACCTTAATGGTTTGTTACAAACGGCACTTGCTTCAAAAGTGCCTCGGCTGATCAGTGGTTCCCTGTGTTGTCGTGCACGTCGTTCATTTAAATGATCTGGCTTCTAGAAATTTTAGCATTTTATTTCCAGCCACAGTTTTTAGAATCATGTTTAAGTGAAAAGGCACCGTATGTCGGACCGTTATAATTCTCGTAGACTCACCACCCTCTCCTGTGCTTTGTCGTCGCGCACAGGTGAAAGGCAATGATGAGGCTGTCATCCTATGCAAGACGTCCATCGGGGTGCTCAAGATGCAGCAGAACGAACTGCAGGACACCAAGGTACTGGAAACCGTCTCCTGACGTTAGAAGGGATAGGTCGGTGGGCGGCGTATTTACCGTCTCCTGACGTTAGAAGGGATAGGTCGGTGGGCGGCGTATTTGTCGTTTTTAACGGAATGTGGTGGCGTAGATGGGCGTTGCGATGCACGCCTGTAAAGTGGCATTCTAAAGGTGGAGGCTGGTGGATTGTGCAAAGATTGTTGCTGTGAGGCTCTCGGCCTGCCGGGCCGTGAGGTGCAAGGATAATGGCAGCGCGACAAACCAGTCTATGCGGTAGCCGCTCGGTTTTCCTAGAGTTCTTTTCTTGCCACCCACATAGAAAAAACGAATAAGAGTTGGGCGAACATTATCAGTGCAGGACCCACCTTAAAACATGTTTCTTCTTGGTGAATGCATAATAAATACACATTCCAGATGTAACGTCCTTAACTCCTTTGCATAGCTTATGTGATTTATTGCCTCTGTCCCAAAGGTAAGTTTGCCATGATATATAACTATGAAATGCAACACATGTTGGTCATATTTTTCCATATATTTTTTTTAAATGTAAGGTTGTCAGCACCGACTCGTGCACCTGACGTGAATTTGCTGCGTCTGTTTGCGAATCTTTGCTTCAGAAACTGGTGGAGGAGGTGGGGGAGACCCTGGACAGCCTGCCCGGCGTGACGAGTGTGCACAGCCGCTTCTACGACCTGTCAAGCCGCTACTACCAGCTGATGGGCGACCACGCCTCCTACTACAAGGACGCCCTGCGCTACCTCGGTTGCATCGACATCAAGGACATTCTTGGTAATAACCCAACCAGCCAAGTCAGTTGCGGCCTAGCATGAAGGCAACCTGATGTCGTCGCCATCTCTCACAGTCTCACGATTTAACAATCCACCCAGCGCCTGCAGCATGAGCCGATCTTATCGCTTCATCCCCATGACGGTCATCCACTTGGGTGTCTTCTTTCCATCGTTGCTCTCTCTCTCGGGTGTCCGCAAGCCAGGATTGCAAATGATGATGGTGATGACCACTGCCCAGCGGGATTGCTTGACTCCGTTTTACCCTGCCCCGTGAACCAGTTGTTACAGCCTAATTAGACCAAACACCCGTCCCTTGCCCTGCGTGTTGCGATGTGTGCAGTGACAGAGCAGCAGGAGAGGGCATTCACTCTCGGCCTGGCCGGGCTGCTCGGGGAGGGAGTGTACAATTTCGGGGAATTGGTAAGCTTCCTCACTCAGCCGTTCATTACTCAAGGCACTTGTGTAACTGTTTCCTCAATAGGGAAAGCTCCTTTCACGTAGACTTTGGATCCCACATGTTCCATGTTGCTGCCAGACCACCCGACCTACTGGTAAATAAGGGTGGCCGAGATATGTATGTATGTAGGTACGTCGAACTCCTTTCTCACCGTACGTAGCCAACCATGCTAATGGGAGGTGCAGAATATATGGCAATATAATTGGTGTACATCGACTCAGCCCCATCACATTGTGATTGTCACAAGTGATGTTATTTCCCCCATCAAAGAAATTTGGAATTTACGGCACTGGGCACAAGGCCCACAGTGGACATATGAGCTCCACCCCATTGCCTATACGACTTTTGTTAACCAAGGAATGTCTAGCTGAGTCTGGGGTCTCTTTCATCCGGAGGGTCCTGCTCGCACCTCCAATGAGCGCGGTTGGCTTTGTACTGTGCGAAAGAAGTTCAATATACTTGCTTGGGATGTTTGACCAGTTCTCCGGGTTGAGGTCTTGTAACGTACGAGTCATGTCACGTCAACGAAGCAGGGGCTCGTCCTGAATGCCGCCCCTCTCCGACAGCTCATGCACCCGGTGCTTGAGTCGGTCCGCAAGACGGACAAGCAGTGGCTCATCGACACGCTGTACGCCTTCAACAGCGGCAACGTGGAGGAGTTCCAGGCACTGAAGCCCAAGTGGGGCACACAGGTGCGGGATCTTAATCTTCTCTACATAAACTATTTTTTATTTTAGCAGGTAAGGCCCACTGAGCTATGTAGCTCTTTTTCAGAAGCGACCTGGCCACACATGATAGCTCAACGAAGTGGCTTATCACGTGGTAATTTATAGCAGCCAAATACTCTTAACTCACGTTTCTAAATGTGAAGGGAAAAACCCGGATGACCCGGAGAAAAATCCACACGACCACGGGGAGAGAGACATGCAAATTTCAAGTATACAACAAGCCTCAGGTTTGGGATCGAACCCATGATCTCCTTTATACTCGGCGAGGGAGTTAACATCTCGCTACCACGGCACTCCATGCATCTCTCAACCCTCTCACGTCACCAGTCTCTCTCTATATCCCCCACCTGCATGGTGGAGCTATAGTAAACTAACGTTTAACAGCATTGTGGTAGGCACCTTCTAAAACAAACCGCATTGCGCGAGAGTGGCAAAACCTTGTACGTAGAAATGAGTTTGAGGCTAACGTAGTGGTTTGCCGCGTTTGCCCCCAGCCTGACCTCGCTGCCAACGAGTCCAAGCTGCTGAAGAAGATACAGCTGCTCTGCATCATGGAGGTGAGTGGTGGGGCAAATCGAAAGCCCGTTTTGACGGGCGTGGTATCAGTAGATCAAATCAGCCGGAATGCGCCCCGATCTCGTCCCATCTTAGACGCGAACCCGGATCGAATCCAGATAAATGCTTGCATGGGTGATCACCACGCACAACATGCTGCATGGTGTGCGTGGCAGAGGACGGTGCATCAACATCTATTGGTATACTGTACTTCTATGCTCTCAACTTTCTGTGTAATCATATTTCCTCCCACAGGGATGTATGGTAATTGTGAAAAGTCTGGAGACTCCGTAGCTTCCCTGGGTACATAAGCACAATGTATTTGTTGTTATTATTAACGATCATAATATTCCTTTGGATAGCGCTATGGTTAAGAGTCCTCAACTGACATGTTACGTGCTAGGAAGAAGGGCTATTGCCACAAACATCAACTATTTTGTATATGAAAGTCATTTTTTGTCTGTTTGTCCGTCTGTCTGTCTCTGTGTGGATGCACACTTGCGAAGGATTTGGCTTTCAAACCGTGGGGTTGACTTTAAAAAAAAGTAGCCAGGTACCGCGCTGTACGCTGCTTCGCGAGGGCTAAAGCTGCCCGGGGGTTGCCCCTAGCAACGCACACGCGTCATCGGTGGGGGGGGGGATTTCTCATTCGCGTTCAAAATGCTAAAAAAATACAACGCTGAGGTAAATTCTTCAAAGTGTAATGTCCCCCCATCCCAATGTGTGCATTTAGTACTCTCTGGTCGGTAGATAGTAATATTATAGCGCTTACATACTATTACTGTAGAGCGGGCGGGGGGATGGTGGGGGGGGGGGTAGCGGCCCAGCCCCCAGCCTGCCAAGTTGCCACCTCGGCCGGCTAGGCAATCTAGGCGAGGTCGTGGGCTCTTCGCGAGACTAGGCCTCACGACGGCACTCTGTCAGGTTAGTAGTTTGTGCTATAGAGTCAGCATGTACTACTGTAGTGATAGCAGGTACCACCACAGTCAGTATGTACTGCTGTAATCATCGCAGATGCCACCACAGTCAGTATGCACTGCTGTCGTGAAAGCAGGTACCACCACAGTCAGTATGTGCTGCTGTAGTGAAAGCAGGTACCACCACAGTCGGTATGCACTGCTGTAGTGATAGTAGAAACTGCTGTCGAGTTGGTAGATACTGCTATATAGAGTTAGTAGATACTAAAACAGTCAGTATATACCACTACAGTCAGTAAATATTGCTAGAGACAGATACTACTATAGAGTGAGTAGATACTGCTATAGAGTCAGTAGTTATTACTACGGTCAGTAGTTGCTACAGTCAGTAAATACTACTATACAGTCAGTAGCTACTACTGGCTCAGATACTACTGGACAGTCAGTAGATACATCTGCAGAGTCAATAAATACTACTTAGTTGTATGTAGGGTGTGTACGTTCTTTACCTACGCGGGGGCAAAACATTTTTTTAAGGGGGGGGGTCGACAATTTTTGGAAACCTTTTATATCAGCTATTTACCCCCCCACATCATATCACGTTTGGACTTCTGCAAGCCTCTTATAATTTTGTTGGTGGAGAAATGGACAAACGGGCCACCGGGCTTTCACAATAGCTTAGTATCTGTAGTGTTTTTAAGATAAGTTTTGAAATATATGTTTTGCCTGGGCAACGCCGGGTACTTCCCGCTAGTTTTATATATATTTTTGAAGGCTACAATGTTATTGACAAACGGGTTGAGTTTATTTGATAACTGCGCTTGTGCACCACTGTCAACGCAGCAGCATTAGCGATTCATTTGCTCAAGGCACATTTGTTAGGTTGCAAAGTTCTAATCTCATTTGAGTGTTTACTCAGCCCATTACCCGCACACATCGAGTGACAAGGCAATATTCGTCCTATTATACAGACTCCTGCTCGTCATAGGTTCGTAGAATTTGCATGACTGGGTTGTGGCCTCTAGTGAGCAGGCAGACCCATTGCTTTACATTGCAGTAGTGGAGAAAATGTCATTTTTACGTACGGCTGGATGAATAGCCACTTAAAAATCTTATGTCCAGATTTGTTGTACCGGAAAGGACTTAGGTCGATGTGCAGTCGAATTCTTCAGTGCCTCCAGACTTCACGACGGTTCAGTGGTCTAGCAGCCTAGTCGTGTTTCCGTAATCGTACATCGGCTTTCTCCGAATTTCTATCGGTGATGGCAGAGGGGGTGGATCTGCCATGGAACGTGCAGATGTAATTTAACATGGACCATTATGGACTTTCACAAAAAGAAAATGCCTTTTGTGAGCCCACTTTCACTTGCTGGCTGCTTTGCGAGTTGCCTTGCTTGTATTCCCGTGTCTCATTTGCCAGATGACGTTCACACGGCCGGCCAACAACCGGCAGCTCACGTTCCAGGAAATCTCCACCAAGGCGAAACTCCCGGTCAACGAGGTAATGCATCCTTACAGCCCACGTGAAGTCGGTCATTTTCCCATTGATGCTCTGGCTCGGTGTTCTTCACTGCAAGGCCCGTGGGCCACTGGCGGCCCCTGGTGGAGAGATGTTAACTACTTCGCCTGGCATACAGGGGGTCGTGGGTTCTATCCCGACGCCTGTATATTTGGAGTTTGCATGTTCTGCCTGTGGTCACGTCGATTTGTCTCCGGGCCCTCCGGTTTTCCCCTCCACATTTAGAAACATGCTTGACTGCTATAAATTTCAACGTGATAAGCCACTTCTTTGAGCTATCATTTGTGATAACCAGGTCGCTTCTGAAAAATAGTTATATTGCTCAGTGGGCCTTACCTGGTCAAATAAAAAAGTTTTTATCTGACACGCACACACCGATGTCACCAATGCCTTCCTCCGCTCCCCTCCGCCACCACCCTGTGCCAGGTGGAGCTGCTGGTGATGAAAGCCCTGTCGGCCGGCCTGGCCAAGGGCAGCATTGACGAGGTGGACAAGAAGGTGCACATGAACTGGGTGCAGCCGCGCGTGCTCAACCTGCAGCAGGTGACCGCTCCTCCCCTCGTGCTCGCACCCTCCGCGGCTCTGGGGATCAACACGCACGTTCTTGGACGTGCGCAGCCTTATTGCCAATCCTCTGCTGGATGAGGGCCCTTCCCCCCATGCTGTGTGGGTCATGGTGGGGTTATTACACCAGAATCTGAACATGTATTTGTACTGGACGAATCTGATGAGCTATAAAGCTTATTTTTAGAAATGTCCAGTTCACCAAGTGTCATCACGCTGGTCAGTGCTGGTTGGTGACGGTAGGGAGCACGCACGTATTTGGCTGCTATAATTTTCCACAAGCCACTTCTTTGAGCTATCATTTGTGGCCAGGTCACTTGTGAAAAAGAGGTGTATAGCTCAGTGGGCCTTAGCTGCTAAAGTATCAAATAAATATAACAATGGGTGTTACTGTGCGTCCGTTTCCCACAATGCATTGTAAATGCTCGTTTTTTGCCGGTGGTTTCCCATTCACCGTCCGGGTACTTCCCTGCTTCACGTCAAAGATCTGACACATTCTAGGCGATTTGGTCATGGGGCCACCTTATGTAATGCCATGTTGTTAGGCTATTCCTGTAACAACACAGAACACGACTGAAAAGGTCGTGTGGCTCTGTAGCAGAGCTAGACTCTGGAATTTTAATAAAATGGGAGTTAAAAACTAAGCTGGAGGCCAACTCGGTATACTTTGCCTATGGGGTCCATAAAGTAAAATAGGTGACTGTGCAAAGTCAACGGTGCCCCCCCCCCCCCCCCCACCGCAATAAGGGATGTAAGGTTGCCAGCACGGTCGCAGGACTCCCAATGGGATGAGCCTCATTCCTAATTTTAGCAGGAGCACGCTTGAAATGTAGGAGAAAGTTATTAGATGACTCCTGGGTCCAAATCTCGGTGGCCACCCATTACTAAACTGGCTTCACAAGTGCAATGAGATGGTCTCAGATTGGTCACCAATGACTGTGCAAAAAACACACCACGTTAAATTTGGTTCTGTGCTCAAATTTGGCCCCACTACCGTATAGACCAGAGGTGACGAAGGGATTTCCGAGGCAGCTGTTACTTTCCATCTATCGGAGCCGTTCTGACACGAGAGGTTTTGCGCTGCTCTGCAAGAAGACGTAAATTGATTAATCTCATTCCACCATGTCCATATCACAATTGGGACAAACGTGGAAACAAAACGGTGTTCACGCAGCAGTCCATTTTCACTCTCTCGGCCCACCGCGACGGGTACTGACGTCGCTTGCTCGGCACAGATCGCAGGGATGAAGGAGAGGCTGGACTCGTGGTGCGACAACGTGAAGAACATGGCTGTGCTGGTGGAGGACCGGGCCCACGACATCCTCACCTGAGGCTTCCCCCCCCACCCCCCGCGTAAAACACGACGCGACCGTCGCCACAAAACGGCCCGTCACGGTCCACGCGCACACACATGCACACACATGCACGCACACACACACACCGTGCGTTACCGAGGGGCGACGGGAAAATCTGTGACCCGACGCGCACACACATGCACGCACACACACACACCGTGCGTTACCGAGGGGCGACGGGAAAATCTGTGACCCGACGCGGTGGCACGAGTAACCTGCACGAAGCTTTGATATTTTACTTACGTGGGTCAGCTTGAAGTGCATAATTCACGTTGTTCAAACCACAACACACACGTCACAAATTAGCTCTTCCCTACAAGCGATTATTTAATTGGCAACATATGGGAGGCACTGGGAGCCAGGTCTGGGTAAGAGGATTCCCCCTATTTTCCTAATCTTTTCTTAAATCTTGATGCATTTAGCAGATTTATCCACTATAAGCAAACACAATGTTGTCAAATTCATCTCCAGCTATAACATTTGGTATTTCTCAAAATAACGTGCTCCAGACCATTCACTTTATGCAGTAAAACCTCCTGTTGTAACCCCACAACTGTTTCCATCGCCCCTCACGAGAGGACTTGAATGTGCTGCGTAATCCACAGCTACACCAGATGGTCGAACTCAATTGCCAATCGTGTAGGAGACCTCGTTACCCCACCCCCTATTCAAGTTTACCGGCGAACACATTTTTTCAACGTCAGTCCCTGAGAGAAAGTGTGGTAAGGAGTTGTATGTTCGCGTGCGATGACACAAGGATTGCCACTGTGCAAATTGCGTTTTGACTTGTTTTTCAACCGATGGATACCGAGTAAACGTTATTTCATACGGTTGAGCCTCCCCATGTTTTATTCATTAGTTTTTATTGGGTTCACGTTGAGCTTAAACATTGCAATAGAATTACAAGTGCTATTTTGATGGATTGCCAGTATGTGCATGTTTAAATGCTTTCCAGCTCCGGTTGAAAATGTTTTGCAACAATTAGGGCTTTAAGAGCAAGGCTCTTGAGATAGCTTTCAAGAGCATGATCTAAAGTGAAGCTACACTAAAACGTAAAATTCTTGACTTAAAGCTTTCGTGACTGCAGGAATTCATATTCTTTGGGCCTTTCTGTAAAGTCACGTAGATAGGTTCAAAGAAAATAACAAACTACGTTTCGATCGCAACACAAGCCGTCGTCATCAGACTGAACAAGTATAACCCATAAAAACAAAGTTTTTCACTTTAAATCCTTTATATGTGTGGCGGCTAGAGTTCTCTCGTCCTCTGGCTTGAGATGGCTGCCACATATGGGCCAGATGATTGCATGGCAGCATTAAGCAATTGGTCATTAAATATAATATTTTTGTCCTAAAAAGTGTAACATTTTTGAAAAAAAAATTCACGAACATTGTCACGCACAACGAGTCTGTGTGGAAAATGTCAGCTCAATTGGATCACGGGAAGTGGGTTAAAAAACGACCGAAAGATTTGCACGGTCCTAAGCAAGCAAGCGAACTTAATATAAAGGATTTACAAAAAGAGAGGAAAGCTGCTGAGGCAGACTGTTTTACAGGTTTATAATGGTTGTCGCCCAAGGGCAGACGAAGTGGGCGGGCCTCTTGATGTTAATGTGAGAGAAATTAGCATGTTAATGGCAGATCGGAGGCCGACCTCCACAACGAGCATGCAGAGGTGGCTGAGAAATGTAACCTGTTAATGTAAAATCAGAGCTGCAAATAACTAAGATTTCCAAAATCATAAACACAAGATCCAGGTTCGATGTAACACAGTACATAAAATTAAATACCCCGGCGTCGACAAACTAAGCTGCGTCTGCGGCAGTAGTTACATTGGGGAAACTAAGCGACATGTCACGGACCGTGTTCGTGAACATAAGGCAGATCTGAAACACGGGAGGACCAACACCTCGGCCGTGGCTGATCAGTTTTAATGCGGTGGGTTCACGAAATTGATTTCTCCAAGACGAAGGTCCTTTGCAAACCCACTGGCTATCAACAAAAATTCGTTTATAGACAGACACAATTTAAACCGAGATGGTTTCAGAGCAATCATTGGAAGGACGTTATTAACCAGTTTAAGTCATAACTGGCTGTGATGTTTCCATCCTACCTTCCGATGTTCGTTATTTGCTACTCTGATTTTATATTAACAGGTTAAATTTCTCAGCCACCTCGTGCGCCCAAGTGTCTGCAGCTCTCCGATCTTACATTACATGCTTTCTCACATTAACATAGCCACCTCCGATCTTACATTACATGCTCATTTATCTCACATTGACATAGCCACCTCCGTGGTCGTCCGATCTTACATTAATATGCTAATTTATCTCACATTAACATAGCCACCTCTGCACTCATCCTCTGATCTTACATTAACATGCTAATTTCTCATTAACATCAATAGCCCCACCCACTTAATGTGTGACCTTTGGGCTATACCCATTTCAAACCTTTGAAACAGTCTGCCTCAGCAGCTTTCCCCTTTTTTCAGCCTGACTGCTTGTTTTGCGATCGAAACGTCGTTTTAATTTCTTTGAACCTGACTTTACCGAAAGACCCAAAGAAAACAGTATTACATGTTCACGTGGGACTTATATTGAAAATTAACTTAATTAGTAATCTTCCCACAACTTGCCTGCAACTTCCATCCAGCAATAAACTAACGCATCAAAAGCCCGTTATAACCAAATGGAAAGCTTCAAGATGCCCAAGAGATAAGGTCCTTTCTATTTCCAAAGGCAGTGTTGACATCACAGCATGACAAGCAGCACAAGCAGCTGTATTGAACTGGGAAGGCTAAATCGAATGTCAACCAACATTTTTTCAATTACTTGGGCTCCCTTAAAAATTACACCTGAACCCCCCCTGACCTCCCGTCCAGAAAACGTGGGAATAGAGGGGAGACATTTCAACTGTGTTATCTGGTTTGTCAGAGTAAATAATTGCACGTTGAACTACTTTCACACCATACGTAACCAAACATACCATATTGGCCATTTCTTCAGCCAGGTCTCCCGTAATATCCTCACTCTGGTTGCATTGCGTCAGAGCTCGTACAGCATGCCGACTCGATAAGAAAAGTGAGGTTCAAGTGAAGCCACGTGGAAATAATTTCACCTTTATTTTTATACCAAACACCACAGCCCGCACAGGCACTCGATACTTTCAGGAATGCGCATGCACAGGACGAGGCGCGATGGTTAATTAATAGAGGCGCTGTGGTCTGCCCATGGTGCTCTTGAGGTAGAGGGCACGCACGTTCTGCCAGTTCTTCTTCAGCAGCGACACCAGGAAGTTGATGGCAAGGTGCAGGTTCGACACCAGCTCGTCTTCCGTCATCTTTACGTGCCCAACAGCAACCGCCAAGCAAAGCACCTGCAAGAAGCAAGACAAGGAAATCGTATTCCTATTGCAAATATTCGCAGACGCAACCATTTACATTACCAGCTCTCTGTAGAAAACTACATTTATTGCGAACAAACATTTAAGGCTTTTTTTTTTAAACAACAAGTCATCTTCCCGTGTATTCAGAGGTGAATATGAACCACACTTTGTTAGGATTGAGTTTGTCATTCACAATAGGGGTGAGGAACCATTTATTTAACGAGGGAAAAACAGGGCTGGCTTACAAATAACTTTGGTGGGCCAACACATGAAAACACCTTAATCATCACTTGACAGAAGTGTCCACGCTAAAATGAGAAAGTGTTGGAAATTTATAAATATTCGGGTCCAGTATCTAATTAGTGCAGCCAAGGTGATTGCAGTGACAGATGAGCATTGTTTGCAGACTGTTTAGAATTGTTAGTTCAAGTGACTTGGCCGTGCACATAGGTTCCCCACCTCCTGTTAAAGCCCTGACAGGCCAGATTATCTGTGTTTTGTACCATTGCACAATAAACCTTCAGCTATTTGGCCCCGAGCAGGAAGACAAACACGAGATGTTGGCCTGCAACGCATCGGCGTGCAAGCGCGACGACGTACCTTCTTCATCTGGAACTTGATGGTCGACTTCACCTCGTCGACTTTGCTCGCCATGTTTTCGTTGTGGGTGAGCAGAGAAGGGAACTTGCCAGCCTTGTTCAAGCCAGGGCCCAAGATACGAGGGATCTGCTTGATGAGCGACTCGGAGGCAAGGAAAGGCGTCGTACTTCTTGGCTGTGGCGATGTAAAGGGTGCAGGAGGGTAGAGAGGCGTCAATCGGGATGGGTGCAACAGCAATGGTCGTCGCGTGAGGCAGGCAGAGGCCTTGTTGCATCTCAATTCCCATTAACCCATAGGTCAGCGCTCAACAAATGCGATTCCTTTTCTGGCCCCCATCATAGTTCATCTCTGTTTAGCAACGTCCATGGAAATGCAATGGCAGTCACAAAGCTCTGCACTGTGGAGTAACACAAGGGCTAGGCAGTTAAATAGTTTAAACTATAAACTATTTTTATTTTACCTTATTTAGGCCCACTGAGCTATATAGCTGTTTTTCACAAGTGATCCGGCCACAAATGATAGCTCAACAAAGTGACTTATCGTGTGGAAAATGACAGCAGCCAAATTACTCTTAAATAGATGTTTCTAAATGTGGAAGGAAAAACGAGAGGACCGCCGAGAAAAATCCACATGACCACAGGGGGAGACATGCAAACTCCAAATATAGAGGCGTCTCTCGGTCGGGATCGAACCCAGATGAGAGGTAGTGAACATCACGCCACTGTGGCGACATGTTAACTATGGCAAGTCGTCAGCGGCTCAGGGATAAATCCAGGAGTCACCCATAAACATTACTAATCGGGTCGTTAAGTGGAGGTAATGTTCTGAGCTAAGCCACCAATTCATGTGCATGAGCAGCCGTTCATTATTTTTGACTTAATTCAGAATTCCAGCTTTTGAGAGTAAAAAAAAAAATACAACTTCAGTCAGACCATGATTCAAATATCTATAGCAGGGCAGGTGGGAGAGTGCTTCCCCTGGTATGTATAAGAGGTCACTTGAAGTGATCTCATAGTAGTTCTGTGTATTTGTATATACAGCAAAAGCTCTTATCCGACACTTTACCATCCAGAATGGTCTAGTGACCGGCATGTGTCATAGGCGGCAATATAAATCTTCCTTCACGTATGCAGTAACATTCCAACGAGCCATTCGGCATCTTGCCGTGCGTTTATCATAGATCCGTTTGTTACGGGAGCTTCAGGACGATGCCGAGTCGTGGCGCTTGCGGCAGTCTGCACATCCAGTACTGTATACTGTACTCTAAATAGCCACAATGCTTCTCTACAACACTCAGAATGCTCTACAACTGGTGAGGACCTCTACAGTTAAATTGTAGGCTTATTTTATTTTACGAAAAGTGTTAAGTGCTTGGAAAATTTGGTGTACCACAAGAACAACTCTTAGATAACCGGCATAGTCGATGAAGCGGCACCCTCCATTCTCCCCATGGATGCCGGGGATAACAGAGCTCATGCTGTTTGTCGTAGTTATAGACATCACTCTCCGCAAGAGGTTGTCAAATAGGGCTGATGCACTGCTTTGTGAGTTGCGGATTGAATTATCACGAAAACGCAAATTGGAGGGTGGTCAAAACAATGTTGTTGATGCCTTCCTAACTGCCAAATAGCACAAATATTTCCTATTTGTCACCCAACCACCATGGAAAGTCATTCCAGGACATCAGTGTGTTAGGGTTCAGTATATTCCCTCGTTATTCACAATAATTGCTATCCGTGACTCCGGCTTATCTGCGGATCACATCTGGAATTCGACACGACAGTATCCCGAGTGAGATAAAGTGATGTGAGAAAGTGATGAGATAGTGACGAGATTAAGTGATGAGATAGTGATGAGAGAAATAGAGATAACTTCTCAAAGCTTTAAAGCATCTGCAGATGTAGGCCAAATTATCTGCGAAAGTTGCTTTTTACGAGCATCTCCAGAACGTATCCCTCGTACAGAACCACATCAGAACGAGGTTTACCTAGCTTCTTGACAAGCTTCTTGTTTTTGTTGAGCTTCTTCAGAGCCTCGATGTCCATGTGGGGGATGCTGGCTGCCTCAGCCTCATCACAGTGCTGCTGGTCTCCCAGGAGGCAAACGGAGAACTTGGGGCGGGGAGTATTCTTCAGCCTGCAACAGGATCAAGAACAGATTTTCAGCTCGCACTATGGTGCCAGGGACAACCGTGACCAAGCCAGCAAGCACTTTCGCCACGCCACTTGCAGAGGGACATAATGGGTTTTTGTAAATACGTATTGAGTCACAGGCTAAAATTATGTTCTCAATACATGCATCGGATTCCGTAAATAATGATCTTCTATTGCACGTATTCCACTTGAGATTTTAAATAGCCATGAGATATTCCATACTGCATGACTTAATTCCCCTCCCGCCTACGCGAGGTTTGATTGGGACTTATAAAATCACAGGCACTCTCCCGCAGTGCTCGGACGTCACTCCATTGACATATTAAAATGGCAGTGACATCATCAAGTGCAAGAAAGCTCTTGAGCTGCCACTTTCATGTGCCGGGGGGCACTGGGATAGAGACAACCCCAATGAGGTTATTTTCGAGGTTGCACATTCAAGCGACAATCAGTCTTACAGCACAGAAACACTCGCAGATGCCTAGAAAAAACACACCTTCAAGGGATCTAATAAAAGGCATCTTACCAGATCAGCGCAGCTGGCTTCGTCTGCACCTGTGATGGCAGTCGCATCCACCAGCTGAGCTTACCTGTCGGCAGGATCAGCCCGAGGGCCTCTCCCACCTCCCCTGTTATTTTAAGACCCAGGGTGCAGGTCCGTCCGCCCGGACGGGGTCGGACTACCTGTGCACTACTACTCCGGGGTTTCTATGTAGAGCAGTCCCTGACTTATATCAATTCAATGCCGTGTGATGTACACAACTGTGAGTGTGCATGGGGATGTCCCTTGTATGGGTCCTTTGTGAAAAGAGCAAGTTTCAAGCGCTGGTCCCTTGGGCTAGGCTACATGTTGAGCATTTCTTCTCAATGTAATCAATTGCAGCCAATCAATATTCATAGACTTCAGAGTCAAGTGATTAAAAGTAGAATTATCTTGCCAACATAGTCTTAACAAATTGACTGCATGCCATATGGGAGATGCTGTTACAATCTGCAACGTAACTGCCCTATGTAAATGTATGCTTTTCCAAGAGATGTATGCAAACATTCTAATTGTCACCTTTATCTTACATGCAGATAAAAAATATAGCGTGTATATGCCAAGTAGTGTATTAGTATGAATGCTCGTTCTGCAATGGGATGGGTGAGTCAGGGACTGCATTGATTTCAAATTCCATTCCAATGGTACCAATGCGTGTAACCCCGAGAGCAGTAGGTCAGGTGCACAAACTAATCCAAGCAAAGAGCATCGACCTGACGGTTCCGGAAAATCGCTTGTCCTTTTGTGGATCATAGTTCTTCAGGCTGATCTGGAGTTCCACAGTCTCTCGGAACCTGCGGATGGCAAGAGGACAAACGTGATTAACAAAGCACTCGTTTCTGCACGTGGCAAATTCCATCAGTACTCCGGTGAAATGATTCAGGGTCAAAACGCGTCACACACTCAAAAAACCCGAGGGGGGGAACTTCACTTACACAAACCAAATCTTATTTCCCGAGTATTCACTTGCTCGTCATTAACAGATATATAAAAACGATCATTTAACAAGGGCGTAATTTAATCAGTATATTGTTTTTGCATGGAACTTGTAAATACTTCTACAAGGGAGTATTTAATTAGTTTGGAGAGTTTTTTGGTTTGTACTTGTGAACTACCACAAAGTCCATTAATTATGAATGATAAACACTGGCACCAGTTGCTACTAACACATTACTATTGTGAGGTTAAATAAAAAAAATGTATTGTCAACTATTACACCACACCATGCTAAATAAGTGATGCCTAACACATTACAAACGGACCCTTTAATCCCCAGTGATAGGTAGTCAATACTAAAAATGTAACGATGATTTAGCCAATAATTCATGCTACAAATGCATTAAATCAAGCTTACATTCGAATGCAAGGTGTTATAGTTCATTGACAGGTTTATTTAAAAGGTCTACAAGATTCGGATGGGCTATATCCATGAACATATCATGAATTCTACACGGGGAAAAACACTATAAAGTCTGCCGTTATGAATCCACAATGAAATCTGCGATGTACCAAATCATCTAATGCAATTGCTGAATTCAAAGTGTGCGCCACCAGGCCCTGCCACTACCGATTATAGTCAGTAGTGATCACATGTCACAAACTTGTACATTAGTATATACTGTATTAGTACCTATGGTATTCATCGTATAGTACGTATTTGCATGCACGACATCTTTAGTGCAGGCTATTACAAAGGTGCGATGTTTCAGGTATGGGTAGAGTCCGACAGAAGAGGCGGATGTTGCCATGCGGTTTTATCCAATCAACTAATTTGTGGCCAATTATAAAATGTAAACTAACACCAGCACAAAGGGGCTCATTTTTCTAACATCACGTGATATTTAACGTCCTCTGTGAAGCAGAGAACATGTCGTATTTGTTTTGGGTCCTTTAAATAACAGGGTGTAAAACGCGCACGGCCGTGTGACTGCCCCATCTCAAACTCTAAAGTTTAAAGAGGGGCTCTTTGGGAATCTTGGGGCTCCAGACAAGGAAGGGGGGGGGGTTGTCGCAGACCACGCACCTTTTGCGGTTCTTCTGGGAGCCTAGGAGGAGCTCCCGCACAGCCTCGTGCAGCGTGTCGCGAGAAACCTTGCTGCAAACCAACGCAAGCCCACAAAAGCACACTCGTTAACGCAAGGCCCCTTATTAACACCGTCACATTCTCTCGAGCTCGTCACACGGTGGCGAGACGTTAACTCCAGGTCGCCTGGGATACAATGTCGTGGGTTCGATCCCGACACCTGTTAATTTGGAGTTTACGTATCTTTCTGGTTTTTCCTGCCACATTTAGAAACATGTATTTAAGAGTTATTTGGCTGCTATAAATGTCCACATGATAAGCCACTTCGTTGAGCTATCATTTATGGCCAGGTCGCTTCTAAAAACAGAGCTACATAGCTCAGTGACATACGCAGGGCAGTAATCATCTTTTTAAAAATACGAATGACAAAAATACCACAGAGGGACTTCATGGCAGGGTAGACACGATATCATTGCAACCGAAATTTCCATGACCAAAAAGAAGCCATGCGGATGGCTTGTTTAAGGAGACGGATATGGAGTCTGTTTGTATATTTTATTCCATTTCTGCTTTGTAAAACGTCTCCTGCAGCATACACGGTGGTTATACTTCAAATTCTGCCTGATAAGTCAGTGGCGGCCAATACACGTGGCGCGCAATCCACGAGTGGATCGCAACGTTCTTTTGTGGATACCAAGACGAAATCAGAACATGAACTTTCGTTAGTTAAGAATTTCGAAAATAATTACTTCTTCCCAATAGATGGCGCTGGTACTTTGTGTAATGTAAATAACTATACAGTAGAGTACGTACTCAGTACTGTAGTGGTAAAGTACTTATAGTTCTGGTGGATTGCGGATACCTTTGAGAAACACGAGATCGGATCACTGCTTGGTGTATTGGTCACCGCTGTGATAAGTTTGTCCAGTTATAACCACTAGACCCGTGGCAGGCTTTACACGTTACACTTAGACCTGCAGTACAACTTCTCGGTGAATATTTATTCTTCCAAATAAAAGAAACATTTAATATCGTAGTAATTACACCGTGGTAACACCTAGAAGGTTGCACAATCATTAATCGTGACCAATCCGCTGCTATATTAAGGAACTCGAGGGTCCAACGTGGCCATCCGAACTGGACGTCCCGTCCTGTGCATAGCCAAGAACGTGGCATTTTCACAATTGGCCTGTAGAATCACAGCAGCAATGAGCAGCTAGCGACTCCACCAGTGGCCGCCTTGACTCGATCTCCCGTCCCGCCACCCCCACCACGAACAGGAGGGAGCAGCTCCCCATTCTGGACTTGGGACGCGGTCACCAGAGTTCTAATCTCAACCGTGAGAGGGCTCAGGGATTACGAAACCCGCATTGAACCAGGAATATTGATGATCTATAAAGCTCTTCTTCACAGATGTCCAGTCGACTTCGGATGGAGGACCCAAGTTATTTGATTTCATCCACCCAACCCTCCATTCTGACCAAGTCGAATGTTAACGTATGTCAGCTTAAGCTATTTAAATTATGGGTCACACCACTGTACCCGCATGACCCCACAAAACGTGGGCAACAGGCCTCCTGTAGCGGATTGACACGTTTAAAACGTTGTGGGTTTACTCTCAAACACAGAACCGGTGCACTTAAGTCGTAACCAATTGGCACATTTTGTTTACAAACCTAATTGGCCGTGTCGGGTGGTGGTGGTTTAACGACACATTTATATGTACGCGAATTAACCCTAAAAACCCTCTATTTTTAAAGGGTTTATGTACTGCAGTGTAGTGGTGTGCTGGCCTAGGGCCCACCATGAACTATGGCCGCTGTCCTCCACAATTAACAAGAGGCGCACACCGAGCGGCCGATATTTTGTGTTAAACAGCCACATTTACCAAACTAACGCTGGCCGCTGCTACCCGGGCACGTTGCGTGAAATACACGCGGTGCAAACGATGGCTCGGAGGCCGCGTAAGACGAGGATGGCGAACGATTGGAGTCGCGTACCTCATGGTGCCGCGCCGCCTCGCTCCGTCGCCGTGAAGGAAAGGGAGAGGGCAGAACCGGAAGAGGGAGACGAGAGGGAGGGACCAACGGGGGGGGGGGCGCGAGGGAAACCCCCTACACGGAAATGACGCAATGACGTTCGTACGTCAAGGCGTTACTGGCCGACGTGATTGCGTCATCACGCAACGTAGCCACACCCGCTCGCCGCGACATGACGTCACGAGCGGTTGGCGTTGACTTTTGTTGAGAGATAACGCGACTTGACGTCATACCTCAATGACGACATGGAACGTCGATATCGGAATGAGAATCGTGATTCATACTCGAGGAATCCCATGAGCTATGAAGCTCTTTTCACAGTGCAACGTAGAGGAAAGGTAATCAGGGCGAGGGGGCCGAGTGCTCTCTCGCCACTGGCGTGGACCAGAGGTTGGCAGTGATGCACAGGCACAATTGTAGTGAAACACAATCATGAACAAATTGCCACATTTCGATTGAAAGCTTTCGTGACTGCAGGGATTCATCTTCTTGGTTCTTTCGGTAAAGTCACGTAGAAGAGAAATAATAAAATAATAAAAATAAAACATAATAAAATAATTCTCACGACGTTTCGGCCACAACGCAAGCAGCCGTCCTCAGGTGAAGACGCTGTCTTCCCGACAGACCTGTTCCTCACCTGAGGACGGCTGCTTGCGTTGTGGCCGAAACGTCGTGAGAATTATTTTATTATGTTTTATTTTTATTATTTTATTATTTCTCTTCTACGTGATATTGCCACATGTAGAAAGGGAATGATAAATGGGATGTGGCACCACAGCAGGGAACTTGCAGGGATGCATGGCTGACAACCCACACGGGTTACTCCGTATTCTTGTACTGGGAAATTTGAGTTTTCAGGTCCAGCTGTTTCAATACAGGCAAATTGAAATAATTGTCTATCTGTGTTTCTCCCTTGTGATGGGACTTTGTAGAATGAACGTTGAGATTAATAAGGGGCACGGGGTGACCAATAAGGTCTGATAAGGGGTTCACAGGTGTGGGGATGTGACTTCCCGACTCTCAATGTGAATACCTACGGCAACCACTGGGTGGACAGAGACCCCCCCCCGTTCTTAGGGGTCATCCATTGAGTGCGTACGCATGGGGGAGGGGGGGTTAACCCAAATGCGCACGCTTGCGTATGGGGGGGGGGGCTACTGACAATGTACGCATAGGACACGGGGGGGGGGGGTGAAGCCTCGATAATAATTAGTCAAAATTGGCCTTCAAATGAGATAATCCGACGGTGGCCTAAACAAGTTAATATTAAATTTAGATTTAAAGCTTTCGTGACTGCAGGGATTCATCTTCTTGGTTCTTTCGGTAAAGTCACTTAGAATGGAAATAATAAAATAATAAAAATAAAACATTGTTTTATTATGTTAATTATTTTATTATTTCCATTCTTCTAATAAAATAATGTTTTATTTTTATTATTTTATTATTTCAATTCTACGTGACTTTACCGAAAGAACCAAGAAGAAGTTAATATTATTAATATTTTATCGTTTCTGCGTGGATTAAATATCGGCCGTTCTATAGTATTGGGGGGGGGGGGGGGGGGGAGTGTGCGTCAAGCTGTACGTACGCAGGTGGGGGGGGGGGTAAAAAGTACACGTGCGTACAGGGAGAGGGGGTCAAGTCTTGACAGATGTTTGCGTCCCGACTCAATGGATGGCCCCTTACAGCTCGTGCCTGTCAGTTGCGGCAGGTCAGAATCAGAATGTGTATTTATACTGCAGCAGGAGGAATCTGAAGGTCTCTTTCACCGTCGTCCAGTCGGGGCGGGTAAGAACTTTACAACAAACAATATAAACCATGACAGTTGTGGAAAGTACAATAAAGGTAAATCACCCAAACACAAAACTAAAACATCCCCATCCTACCAGGCAAAGCCCACTGAGCTATTAACTTATTTTTCAGAAGCAACCTGGCCTGCAAATGATACCTCAACAAAGTGGCCCACCATTTGGACATTTGCAGCAGCAAAATAATCTCAATGCATGCTTCTAATTGTGGAGGGAAAAACCCCCGAAGGATCCTGATAAATAAAAATCCACGCGACCACGGGAAGAGAGAGAGAGACATGCAAACTCCAAATATACAGCAGCAAGCGCCAGGGTCTGGATGGCACCAACGACCTCTTTTCAGTGACGTGCGGTGAGGTCAATGGCTGATGGGGCATTGACTCGTGTCAGAGCCAGATTCACACAGAGGGGGGCGTGTCCTCACTGAGGGGGCGTGGCCTCACTGAGGGGGACTGGCCTCACTGAGGGGGGCGTGTCCTCACTGAGGGGGCGTGTCCTCACTGAGGGGGCGTGTCCTCACTGAGGGGGCGTGTCTTCACTGAGGGGGCGTGTCCTCACTGAGGCAGATGTGATAGCTGCCTCCCCTGGTGCTTTTTCATTGCAGTTTCATGACGAGACCAGCGAGCCTAAATATCTTTATACACATACGTGAAATAAGTTAGCTGGAGTATGGAAGGCGAGGAGATTAAATGAAGGGGTCTACAAACATTACATTGGTGACATACTGAGATAGTAACAGGCACGCGCTTATTGCCCGCGCTCCATCCAGTTACTGAGGGGTTGCGCAATCAGAGGGGAGGCTGAGCTCGTCGCTGCCTCACCTCTCGTCTCTTCCTGTATTTGCAGCGGAGCTCCGCAAATTTGGCGATTTTGACTATAAAATGATTGGAATCGTACAGAAATTACATTTATAACATAAATCAGTGGGGAATTCTTAATATTTATTTGATATTTTTTAAAATCCTTTATATTAAGTTCACTTGCTTGCGCGCTTACGACCGTGCAAATCTTTCGGTCGTTTTTTAACCCACTTCCCGTGATCCAATCGAGCTGACATTTTGCACACAGACTCGTTGTGCGTGACAATTTCTTTTCGCAAAATTTTTTTTCCATAACTTTACACTTTTTAGGAAAAATGTTTATTTATATTTAATTACCAATTGCTTAATGGTGGCAGTCAATCATCTGACCCATAGGTGGCAGCCATCTCAAGCCAGAGGACGAGAGGACTCTAGCCGCCACGCATATAAAGGATTTGTAGTGAAAAACTTTATTTTTACGGGTTAATTTTTTTCTTTTCGTGACAGCTATTTTCATTGGAGTGTTACAGGTGAGGCTCTGCCTCCCCTGACCGCACGTCCCTGCCTCCTTTATACCAGGCGAGGGAGTTGAATATCGGGTAGATAGAATGGAGTGAAATGGCAGCTGGAGTGAAGCTTGAAGAGGAGAGGGAATGGCCGGGTTGTTGAGAGCTCTGTATAAAGTTAAGAGAAACACATTCCTGCGGAGGGAGCTGGTAGGAACGTTGGGTTGCTCGGTCAATGGCCAGGGTCAACGGCGGCGTGGTGTATTCCGCAAATATGCTCGACTGTGAGGGCGGGCACAAGCCGGCGTGAGTAGGTTAAACGTTGAGTTTTATAAGGGCACCACGGGTGACCAGCCCCTCCCCACCCCTCCCCCACCCAGCCCCACCCCTCCCACCCAGACCCTTCCCCCACCCTCCCCACCCAGCCCCACCCTCCCCTGCCTGCACGACGGACACAATAATCCCCTGTGGGCTGGTGTAACCAGGAGGTTCTCACCAGTATAA